TCGAGATACAATTCTTGTGAATCCTTGCCAAGACTGATATACTCCTGCCATCTCCTGCCACTTCAGGTACTAAATTAATATATGGGTGTTACAGCGGTCTGCAATCTTAGTGCAACTCATGCAACTTGAGATGATAGGTTTGGATAATTTGCCGTTTTTGTTGTTTGGACAGGCTGTGATCTATCCTGCACGAATTGAGGGCTCTGCCAGTGCTGAAAGGACGGGATCTCCACGAGATCCGGGACCAGACGACGTTCGAAGGGGGATAAAACGGACACCATCAAAGTATTTTGCATGTTTTGGCACTTGACACTGCGATGAATTCAGACAGAATATATTGGACATCGTTTTGAACTTTTGTGTTATTGGAAGAGTCGTTCGTTGACGTTCTCGTGTTACTTTTACCCATCGCTTGCGGGCAGCGCTCGCTTCCATCGCATGTGGGAACGTGTCATTGAAGTGAAGGCGCCAAGATCCCTCAGCCTGGGATGTAGGGACCACTCGTGTTGCAGGTGCGGTTTGCAGATGCAAGCAACCCTGGCAATGAAGCCACTTGTCCTTGATATTGCTAAAAATGGAACACAACGATATCAGAGCAGCCTTGTCGGCTTCTCGAATCACCTCGAATCAACACGGAGACAGAAGCCGAGCCACGTGCAGCGGGACTGGCTCAGGCGAGCCATGCTGGGCCCGCTCTTGCGCAAGTGGGGACTGCAGGCCTAGTCCGAGCGGGTTCAACAGCGTATAGTATACTGTAACACTCGAGATGTTCACAGATGAATGAGGAAGAAGAACCACACGGACAAAAACAAGGAAGGAGCAAACTGTTACTCTGTGAGGATCCAAGAAGATTCAAGATGTAAATTTAAAGTCGCAAAGGAAAACATGAACAAACTTGAAGACCTTCTTGGATGCCTTATGATTCACGTGCCTTCACCGTGTTCCGCCAGGAAGTTCGTGATTGGAGCGCCACGCTATCGGCGGGTGAGCGGCAGCGGTTGGCCTTTGCACGGCTCTTCATGATGCTCGTTGCTTGGATAACTTGGATAGGACATGATATGATTTGGATATACCAAACAGTATACAAGCTTATGAGTGGTATAGTGTAGTGAGAGTATAGTGTGTAGTGTAGTCAGTGTAGTATAGTACTTAGTAATTACATGTATTACATAGTGATAAGCTACCTGTGACTGACTTAGATCAGAGGAGAAATCCAACCGCCCGCATTGCTTGTTTTGTCAACGAGCAAAGCTCCTGAGGCCTTGCGCTCCCGTTGCGAAGAACGAAGGAAGCCGAAGCGTGGTTGTAAACACATTGCAGTTCGAAGAAGTCACGCCCGGCACGCAGCAGTTTATACTATAAGACTATAATCATATTTGTACTTCCAATAGTTTCTTCATGTTCTATTTTCCCAAGACTAGTTTGGATTGCAAATGCACTGGTCAACAGTGCTACTCCATCATGCTATTCTTGGCACCTCGGCCACTCAGGAACCGGCCAGCCGAACCGCACAAAGCGCAGAGCACTCTCGCACTGAGTCGCATGGCAGGCGGGCGACGTCAGATCGGCGTCAGACCGATCGGTGGACCGTGTGGCGCCAACGGCTGTAGACCGTCGATCGAGGAGGGGCACAGCAAAGTCCTCGATACGCACGAAGCGTTGGGAACGAGCTTTGGAAAGCCGGCCAGAAGGACTGAGGGTGACAGAGGGCGGTAAAAACAGCAAAAGACATTACCAAAAAAAACAGATGATTTATAGTTTTTGTGATTTGTTTTTGAGTGAAGAGCATTCTGTAGACTTATGATTGAGATTGAACTGGAAGAGCATCCAGAATGCTACTACTATCTCATTCATTTTCGAGTGGCCAAACGCAGTGAGATGAAAGGCTACAAGCTTCTCTTCAGAGCCTCTTGGATCCAAAAAAGCAAAGACATCAACTGAGTTGACTCTTGTCAAGCTGTGTTTAATTAAAAACAATAAACAACAACATTGAATGTCTTAGAAATGTGTCAACATTTTGTCACGATAGTGAACGTCAACGTGCTTACCTGTTTTCACTGCCGTTCACCTGATGTTATTCCCAGCGTCATTTGCTGACCTGGACCACAACGTTTCTTTTTTTCGTTTAAGGCTGGGCCCTCGCCTAGCTGAATTGAATCGCCAGGCTGGTTTGAGAGCCTCGACTACACATGGCCACACCAAATCCAGGGAAAATCCTGTTCTGTTTTTTTCTCACCCGCCTCCAGACTTCACAGGTAATTTCCATAGGATAGCGTTTGAACTCCGATGACAGCGATAGAACTTTTCCCAAGGCCTGGGGGATTTGCAGCAAGCAGCTGCCATCTGCGGCCGCTCGGACGGCAGACCGGTCGAGTCCGTTTGTCTTCGAGCCGCCGAGCCGAGCCACTGCTGCGATGGAGCACCAGGGAGCAGGATGGAAGTGAGGGGCCAGTGCAACAGGTAGTCAGGCGTACTAGTAGCTTCTTGTTACTAGTAGTAAGGATGCTCCTAGTAGTACGGCCAGGAGCCCCTAGTAACTAGCGTCCGATTGGGACGCTCCTAGTAGCGATGCCAGGAGCCCCTAGTAGCTTCTTTTGGATAGAAAATGTGTGCCCTTTGCTGCAGTAGCCAAATCCCAACGGATTTCCCTCACAGCTGATCACCTCAGTGCTGAGGCATGAAGATAATGATCAGCTTGTCCACATCAGATCATTCGGTAGGAGACTAAGCTAGTCTGTCATGTCTTGTCCACATTCCTTGGAACACGTCGCCATGCCGTCATTTATGGTCAGGAATTGCACAACTGGCTGCTCTTGGTCAACTACAGGTTCAGTGACGAATTGTTTGAGGATGCAAATTGCAAATAGAATAGCATGATTGTCAAGGGTTTTCAAACGGGACATATGCACCCTAAACGGCCACTTACTCCAAATCCCATGTTCTCGGACCATCCGCGACCTCCTTCTGGGTCGTCAATGGTGTGAGCTGAGGAGAGCTACCAAACACGGGAGTCATCGCCGTGGTGGAGCTGGCCTTAGAGACGGCTGCGAACGGGCGCGGGTGGGTGGGAGTGTTTCCGGCAGAATAAGAACAGATAGGAAAGGACATCTGAAGTGACCTATATCTCAGCTTCTTGGGGGTTAATTAATGTCAATTTAGGTTTGTTTGTATGATATGCTGTTCTTTTTGTTTGCATTGTTATGAAAATCTTCGGAAAATCAAACTAAGGACGAAGGCACTAGCGCTGTCGAGATTAGCGTTGAGGCCGCTTTGTACGGAGTGGCCTGGTTGCAAGTAGCTGCTGCAGAAAGTAACATGAACAAACAAGCTTTTGTAGCCCGCACTTTTCCGTCAACCCACAATATGTTATCATACTGACTTGCTTAGCACTTGAAGGGCTTACTGTTCCCCATCACTTGATCGATTCCAGGATTTGCGGAAAGAACTGCAACGCGGCACCCTGCAGCCTGGTTGCAAAGGATCAATCGGTGAACATGTCGTTGTGCCTAAAAATGCATGAAGCAGCAGATCAATCAATTTTAAACGACAGGGGTGGCAGTTTCACAGTGGATTCTAGTGCAATTTATGTTTTTGTCACGGTCATGTAGTTTTACCATATTCACTCTACTTTCGCGTGTAAGGCTTGCTGTTATATCCGCAACTTGCATGCAATTGGTCCCAATAGGCACCCTTCGCAAGTAAACAATGATTTGGTCGATTGATCCGATTGTCAGTCAGATGTGTATAAATGTAATCATGTTGCATCAGCCGATACTTCTCAGGATATGAACACATGTTCAACTCCTTTGATCACGTTACTTTTGGTGTGTTCGATCACAGTTCACCCCTTTGAAAAGGTGAGCCACCGGCCAAGCCTGCAGCAGTTCCATGACACTGAGCTGGTCATCGGGGAGGAGCAACTGGCCTGGCACAGAGACTCCAACCATCTCCAACCATCTCCAACTTCAAATTGAAACAGTTCTTCTCCCGGTGTGGTGACCCTGTAGGTCTTTGAAGGGTTTTTGATGTTCTTGAACACACTTGCGTGGTGTGTTCAACTTCCCTGATCTTCCCTGATCTTCAACGCCCAAAAGGGAAACGAAGGCACGGCCGTCGCCCAAAACGACTGAGGGCGCGAAGCCGCACGGAGCCAATGCTAGAGGAGGGGGTTTCTCAGTTTGCACAAGGTGATTGTGGTTTTCAGACATGTATGTGAATGAACTATAAGTACCAGAACATACAGGATTGGTGAAAACGATGCAGCAAAATACTGTCGTCATTCTGTTTGAGTGTTGACCTAGAGCTCCAATGAGAACTACTGCTCCTGCTGCTCCTGCTCCTGCTACTGCTACTGCTACTACTGCCACTCCTACTCCTCCTGCTACTACTCCTCCTCCCACTACTACTGCTACTGAAACTGTGAAGATTCCCTTGCCACTGCTGGCTTTTTGCGAAACCAAAGAAAAAGAAATGGCAATCCGAGCACTCCGCCAGCCGCTCCGAGGTTTGGAGCACTCCGCTGGGCAAAGAAACGATTTGGAAACACTTGGATCTCCGAGCTCCATCGCCCACGAAGAGCTCGGACGTGCCGCCGATTTGAAGCGGAGCGTTCGGTGGGACTGTGGCGGGGTGTTCTGAATTTGGAGCTGTTGGTGATTCCGAACAGAACGGCCCGCATGCGTGGGGTTTTGCGCGGAAGAACAGATCGGAGGCACTTCATGTTCGGGGTTGCCGGGAACTGAGGCATTTCAAGGTTCTGAAACAAGCTGAGTTGGCCTGCAGTGCTGGAACTTTGATGTGGCCATAAAACAACTGTTTCACCACAAAAAAAGAAGGACACATCGACACCGACTCGAATGGAAAAAAGGCAGACTTGCTCTGATTCATGTTCAGTCCGTTCATTTTGCGAGTAGAAGATGTGTTTTTTTTGTTTTTTTCAAGGCTTCAAACTCCTTCAGTCCTTTGACGTGATCAGAGTCGAAAGCGTTGTGACTTGTGAGGCGAAAGCTTCGTCAGGACCGGCCGACGGGCAAGCAGCACTCATCGGTAGGAACCAGGTGTTAGCACAAGTCGATGTGGATTGATGCGGATGATCAGTGACTACGAACGCGACTATACTAGAACCATCTATAGAACTACAATCATTATATAATCACGAGTATAACATAGTATAACAACAAATAGATTATATGTATAAGGACCTATGACCCAATAGGGGTGCAGCCTAAAAGTTTGGACTGGCTGGCGGTGATTTTTGAGAGTCATATCCACGTCCGCTTAGGCCGCATAGGTCATTGTGGTCATGCAGAGTTGAAGCACGACAGCCGAAGCACGCCGAAGCGAAAGGACGCTTGCATGGTTCAGCTTCACCCGGCTTGGCGCTTGCCTCATTCTCAGAGTTTGGTAGCCAGAACTGAAGATAGGTTCGTGATGGTTCGTGGTTGGAGGAGTCGTTTTTGGGGCATTAATGGATACTCTCCGGCACAACAAAAGACGGGAATGTCAGCTTGTTTGAGGCAAGTGGACGTGAACCGAAGACACGGACAAGAGCTCAAAGCCTGCAAGAGGACAGGAAGTGCTCGTGTTTTGGCGCGCTTTCTTAGCCAAGAACGGCGAGAGCCGCTTCAATGTCCGCCTCTTTACACAAGAGTCGACAGCTGCAGGATGCGTCCGTCAGCCATGAAACGGGATCATTCGACGAGGAGGACCGCTTTGCGCCCGCGAGGCTTTGTTTGTTTTTTCTTTGGCACAGCCTGGCATAAGCCATTGGAGGAAGTGGAAGTCAGGAGGCAAGCTGCCTTTGTATGAACGATGATGACATTCTTCCAAAGGATTCCAAAGGATAATCGTGTCTTTTTTTCTGGCCTAGCTTCAGGCGGCGGAGTGTTCGTGACGTGCCCCACCTATTGCAATGCAGCATGCGCGAAACCAGAATGACATCATTTGCCATGTACAGTCATGACATGATTTCAGGTGGTCTCACACTTTGAGAAGACGCAGATCGCCAATAGGAGCGACCGGGGTTTATCACATCATGCGCGGAGTGGCAAACATTTTGCGCGGGTGGTGGAGTGTCCAGTACGCACGCAGGGGCTCGCCAGTGGGCTTAGCAAGCCCGGTGCCAAGCATCGGTCGTGCCCGGTGCAAGCGGTCGTGTGTCCGGACCAGGGACTCCGGTTGATGCAGCCTGCGCAACAAAGGAACGGACCGGTAACCGGACGGTCACCGGAAACGTTTAAATAATCTGCCACTAGAAAACGTTGCACCTTGCTTGCAAAACACCTGGCAAACTACTGGACCTCTTTGAAGGAGATCGTACTCAAATCTCTGAGTAAAGCCTTGTTGACTTGAGCCGACTGGTAGATGATCATGATGTCGTCAAATGGTGCCCCGTTGACATGGCAGGAATCCAGTTTCCTTGCGTTTGGACTCTGCACTTGTTGGAATTCTCTTACTGTACCTTTGATGTTCTTTCATTTGCGCTTGTGCTGGTGTGCACAGCTGATAGCACTCACTAAACATGTTCAGAAATGAGTACAGTCCTGAGAAGGTTTCAGAATCTCATGTTTGCTCTCAAAGCATCTAGGACAACTCCATAGGAGAACAAGAAAGAACAATATACAAAACCGCGAGAGCACAAAATTATACAAACTTGGCTGTTCGAACAACCTGCTGTTTGGTACAACTCTGAGCTATGTCAGAACGTGTGCCACGAACAGCCATCGGTGTTCAGAAGGTCTGAGAGACTTTGGAAACGAAAGCACATCAAAAGCAGCTTGTACAAGACTTCGGAAACCTCAGTTGAAGACTCAAGACAAAGATTAGCCCCCAACCTACTTTTCAGGATCTTCATGGGTGTGGCCTACGACCCAACCGTGGTTTGACCACCCTGCGATCTCAAAGCAGGGCAATCCTCCCAAAAGCACTTCCACATCTCTTCCGCCCTTCATCGGTGCCATGGAGCCTGACAGAATGGAAGGGACGGGTGTCGAGGGACAGAGAGTCCTCGGCTGATGTTCTGAAGGAACGATCTTCGGCGTCCTTCCATCGACATGTCCAGGACACCAAGCCTCCCGGCTGTGCCTGGCAGAGCCTCGCGATGGCCTTGCACAACGGATTTGGGCACCAAGACCTTGACAAGGCTTCGAAGGGGAGCTGTTGGAACTGGAGCGCGAGCTGCGGAGGTTGTTGGTGCACAGCTACCAAGCACTCTCTCCAAAGGAACTGAGGTTTGTTGCGGAAGCAAAGCTGCAAAGTGAGCTTTCCTTCTTTAAGCGCGCTGGATATTTAGAGGTCGAGGAGACACTGCAACACTGGAAATGGTATTTGTACTGTTTGACATTTAACAGCCACTCATTCGCTGAGAACAGCCTTAAAGGCTGGAGTGTAGTCCCAAGGACACCGCTCAAAGGCGCTTTTGTAGTTCGAATGCCGTTGGACTCGGTGGATTTGGCCATTTTTGCCCAGCTTCTTGATGTGCAGATTCTCCTTTTCCAGCTCTTTCAGCCCGCACTTCGCTTTGGAGCCGGAGAGGCTTTACACTTGCTCACTCTCATGGAGGCTTGTGGGCACTACTTCTATCCTCCAAGCAATGGCTACAAGAAAAATCGGACTTGTGTGGCAGTGTCGTTGAGATCGACCGCCTCAGGGGCCCTTTGGCACATTTGGCAGGGAAGAGCGCTTGCATTCTCAGCTATGATGTGGAGAACGACTGTTATATAGCTGCGAGATGCAATACGCGGTTCCCGTTAAAGAGTGTCCAGATAAGTCGCATCCTTGCACGACCTGAGGACGAGGACTCTGTCACTCACGGACGCTGCGTATCCCGCATGCGAGGGACGGCTTTTCGTGGCATTCCCGACTCCTCCATAGACTTTCAAATCTTGTCGTATCTCATCCGCCTGGATGTGGGACAGAGATTGGACGACTTGCATGAAGAGCTGGCAGGTCGATGCCGGCGTCCGGTGTCGGACTACTTCACTCCAAATAAACATGTGCCATCTGAGCATCCCAACGAGCTCTGTACGTCCACATTGCCTTTGCAACAGGTTCTTGAGATGCTCTCTGAAGGTACAAAGGTTTGGACGAAGTGCCTTGCTGCCGTTGGCCCCAAGCGAGACAAGGCAGCCGAATTCTTGACCTGCCGGATCCAGGATTTCATTTGCTTGGAGAAAGCTTTGGATGAAGATCCTTTGGCTTTCTTGGCTCATACTGCTTCAGACCCACAAGCCAAGCAAATCTCGATGGATATTGTGTGCTCCTGGCTGGTGCTTGAAGACTATCCACACCAAGCGCATCCCAGATCCCATGAGCTCCTGGAGCGAAGGTGATGCGGTCCTCGTGTCGGAGCGGCGGACGGCCAAGTGGCACGGCTGGGCCCGAGGACGACGGCTGCAGACGACCGAGGAATCGCGGAAGAATGCGGAGACCGGCCTCTTTCCGATGGCAGTTCTGAGACCTTGCGTTTGGATTGCAAAGATTGAGAGGAAAAAGGAGAAGTGAGAGAAGGTGCCGTCTCCCTGCCAAACCAGTCCGATTGAACAATGTACACGAGACACCAAGACACAAACGTTGCTTGCTTTGGAGATCCAGGTTCGAGCAGTTTGGACCGGCTCGTGTAAGTCTCAGCGTCTGCTGCAAATATCGATCAGTATCTCAATCATTGCTTCAACATGCTTCAACACTTGTCCCGATGTTTACAAGCATATCACTTGAGGTTCCTGCATCGCTCCTAGAGGAAGACAAGTCTATCTCATACGAGCGAGGCCATGTCGCGGAGAGTGTCGGCACTTGTGTCAGTTGAAAGTGAAGCTACTAGTAGCAAGGGCATCGCTACTAGCAACAAGGGCATTACTGCTAGTACCTAGAAGCTACTAGTACCAAGTAAGCATGCTTGACAAAGTATGCAGTCAAAGGACAAAGGTGAGCGCTTCAGACTCCACATATTCAGACCTCCCTAAGATTCCGCTGGCCCAGTCACCTCTGTATTTTGGACTTCCCTTGTGGTGGAGCCAAGCTGCAAGGCCATGCTGCTGCAGACGCTTCACACGAAGCAGGCAAGTTTGTGGACACACGGATGCGCATGGCATGAGCTTCTTCTTGATGTTGTTTGCTTTGTTTCCCCGCAAATGACTGTAATTGGTTTGGGATCGTGGTGGAGCCTCCAGAAACACCATTTGGTGGGGCTGTTTGTTAGTTGATGGAAAGCACAGGACCTTGAAAGCCAGCATCCAATTTTCAGCTTCTAATCATTCTAATCGTTTCACCAGTGCCAGGCAGATGCACATTGCCTGGCTTAACTGAACGAGCGTCCCGAGAGGAGGGCTTCGAGTGAAACCGTTGACTGCCATGGCTGGAAAGCGGTGCTTAGTTCAACCCTTGGAGGAGTTGGATGCCAATCATCCAAGCTTCGTCCGTCGGAGATCCATTTGAGAGGAGTCGCAGACTAGAATTTGGGGTGCTCATGAGCATCCTAGCGATTAGATGATGTTAGATTTGAGATAAAGTTAGATGAATGATGAAGAGTTGCAGAGTCTTTGAAGAGTGGCTGAAACCAGGGCCGCTCACGCTGAAGTCTCCAGTCTGCATGCGTGGATCGTAGCGAGCAAAATACAGACCTGCAATTATCTGCAATTTGGTATTCCGGTGGTTGTTCTAACAGTTTATCATAGTCTATCAAGCTGAGTAAAGGACTTTGCGGTCGTGAACTCAACCGGCAATTCCATGTGATGCCCTCTCTCTCTCTGTCGCGCCGTCCGTGTGTGTGTGTGTGCGTCTCGTACGTGGATGACTTTTTTCTCAAGTGGATCGGGCCGAACATATTTTGGGTCAGAGGCGCCACAGAGGCGCCACTCGTTTCGAGTGCTTCGTCTTTGGTCGTCAAAGCGACCAACTCACTGCGACCAACTCTCTTCCCAGGCGAACAGGCTGGGAAGCTGCACAGGCGAAGCTGAGACCTCCTGAGGGAAGGACAGAGAACTGAAGTGGTTCGTGGCTTAAACGCAGAAGCATGGTGAGACAAGATGCTGGCAGAGATGGGTTTTGTATGGCTTTGTGGGGGTTGGCGGGTTTGGGAGGGCTAGGCCCTGAAATGTTGCTGCATGATGTGACGGTGTATGACGGTGTAAAGCATGACTAAAACATAGGCAACATCGGTGTGTGGTGAGTATGGGGCTTTGCATCAACTGCAGGATGGTCTTGGTTTCCAAGGACCCTTATTTAGTGGGACCCCTTTTTTAAGGAGTCTGATATCTAAAAATTTAAGGAGTCTAGACTCGTTAATTTAAGGTGTTTTTTAAAGGTGTCTAGAAAGACTACCAAAAGGAAAGGAAAAGGAAAAGGACAATGAAAAGGAAAGGAAAAGGAAAATGAAAAGGAAAGCGAGAACTTGGAAGCTGTGTGATCACATGCTGTGGTCAAAGCCAAAACCATATGGCCACTAGACTGTTCCGATTGCACTTGGCTTTGATTTCTGGGATCAGACAAGCTTGAGATCGTTTCAGGTCTGGGGAGGATGGTCCAGTCCTCAGAAGAAGACTGGAAAAAACACCCATTGTGGGAAGACCCGTGTGGGTAGGCCTCTATACCGTATACGGTATCCGAGCACCTTGTGCACCTTGCGCCAAAGTTAACAAGTCTATGCAGACGACCGAGGAATCGCGGAAGAAGGCGGAAGGCCTCTTTCCGCGGGCAGTTCTGAGACCTCGTCTTTGGATTGCAAAGATTGAGAGGAAAAAGGAGAAGTGAGAGAATGAAATCGCATCTTTGTGACGCGTGTGTTGATTCGCCAACTCCTGCATTCCTGCATGAGTCCTACTTGAGAATTTAATTTTCCATGGTGTGTAGAACTGCCCTTAAATTTGTCGTTTGCAAGCAGTCATTGTGTGTTTGCTCAAGGTTTGTTAACAATGTGGATTACAATGGATTACATATACCTTTCCACTGCATGCTGCATTGCTGCATGCTGATTTCCTGTTCTTTTGTTGCGTGCATTTTTTTGAGATCAAATCCAACCAAGTTCTGGAACAGGTTAGGGAGTTCTGTGGGTTTCCCGACATTGAATACTAAGGAATACTAAGACGCCATGCTGAAACCCGGTTTGGAGGCACCAAATTGAATTTCTCAGCCATGGGCACCACATCGAGCGGCTTCGAGGCTTTGCAGGAGCTCCTTTTCTTTTTCTTCGGGTCTACTGAGTCTACTGGTTCCGTGGCCCGGCCTTTTCTGGTTGGGCAATGTTAGGCATATGAATAGTTCCACAGGCCATTCCACGGGCCATTCGGTGAGTGAGATCGTAGCATGAAATGTTGCACGGGTTGATGCATTGTTTTGGTCTTTGAGGAACCCTTCGATGCCATCGACTTTCAGAAGGTCAAAAGTGTTTTGAAACGCTCCAGGTGTGTTGCCCAACACGTGTTTGGGACGAGGTTGTGAATACGTGGTTGGCACCAATGCACCTGCAGTGCAGCAACCCTCTTCAAGTAGGCCTGATCGAGTGAAGTTTGCTTTGCCCTAAAGACGGCGGTCTTTCGTGAAAAATGAATCGCAAGTGGAGGTTGGTACAACAAGGCTAGATCTGAGACTGCAGATGGTACACAGACGATTGATGCGAGCATGCCTCAGACGACGTGTCGAACAAAACGTGTCGATGGCACGTGCGTCGTTTTTTTGTGCTTCTGTTTGTTGATGTGAGACTGAGAGACGTATCGGCTGGGCAGAGGCCAGATGATGCGGTGGCGTTTGCTATTTATTCTGTGCCTCACTTAATTTCAACATTTAGATACATGCATCTATATAGATATTCTGATATGCACACTATCAGAGAGGTCCTTGTCATTAGTAGATTTTTTGATTATTTGTTAGGAATTCGAGACAACTCACACCATTAGACCTTAGCAGATAGCAGAGTAAAAAAAAACAAGAGAAGGCCACAGCAAGAGAATGGCCTCAGCCATCCAAGGTGCCGAGATACTTGGAGGTTGTGCACACCTGAGTGACGTGCATGCCGTGACGGCTGATACGACATGTGTGACGTGACGGAGCCACTCTGAGTTGCCAGGTTCTGGAGCACTACGCGCGAGAGAAACCAGCCAAGGATTTCTCACTGACTGAAGATAGAGGGACCAAACAAACAGATCATAGCACTTGTAGGAAGAGTAGATGGTTGACCATCAAGAACCACTAATCAGGAGGTTCCTCTTCTCCAAACCTACATAGTACAAATGCAGTCACTGGGTCTCTGTTCCCGCGTGGGCTCTTGGAACTCCACGGAGGATCTCGTGGATGGTGCCACGAACAGCATTCTCGATGCTCTTCGTGGAACCCTCGGGGTGTGTTCTTCTTCGAAAGACTCTCAGATCGACGTGGGGCGCGTTTTTCGTTTTGACTGCATGAGGCCTTCGAATTCCCAGTGCGCTTGATGCGCAGGTCATCAATACAGATAAAGGACTTTCGTGCCACGAAGGTTGAGAGCTACGCTACTGTATGGAAAACAGTTTATTCATTTGTCGTGTTCACAAGTTTCTTAGATGGATCATTTGTGCTTACGGTGTACGTTTCATCTACGGCTCGCTTGTGAGGACCACCCTATTTCCATGTGCAAACGATTGGTGCGGTTTGTGCCGAAGATCAACACGTTGAAGCCGAGGCCCGGGCCGGCGCCCGGGCGGCGGCTGGGCGAGTGCGGCCGCCATCGCCCGCAGGATGTGACGGGCGATGGAAGTGATGAGTGGCGAGAGGATTTGTCAGATCGTTTGGAGGCCGGAAATCGATGAAAAGAATTGGCAACCTGTGAATAGAGTCATGGACGAGACAGGGAGATATAGAAAGAGAGAGAGAGAGAGTATGTGCACTGCTGTGCGGAGAGTCTGTACCCAGATCGGGTGGATGGGTCAATCACAGTTTGTGTACTGCAACGGAGGTGGAAGTCAAGTGCAAAGTGTTGAAGTGCTACAGCGTGAGACGTGTTTGCCAATGGCAGGAGGTGCGCGACCCAAAAATGTGGGGAACCGAATCAGAAATGCGGAGGAGTCTTGGCAAGATTGAATGGGGTTCCCATTTCAGTTGTTCTTATTGATGCCTGCTTGTATCTTGAAGCTTGAATTGATTTTCCTTGCTTTTGAACGCTTTTGATCATTGTTGTTTTGTTGCTTCCGCTGCTCAGACATCCAAGGAAGATATTTGCGGTGAATGTTCACCCTGCATTGAACTTAGCTGGCATCAGCAAGAACTTGGAAGCTGTGTGATCACATGCTGTGATCAAAGCCAAAACCATATGGCCACTAGACTGTTCCGATTGCACTTGGCTTTGATTTCTGGGATCAGACAAGCTTGAGATCGTTTCAGGTCTGGGGAGGATGGTCCAGTCCTCAGAAGAAGACCGGAAAAATACACCCATTGTGGGAAGACCCGTGTGGGTAGACCTCTATACCGTATACGGTATCCGAGCACCTTGTGCACCTTGCGCCAAAGTTAAAAAGTCTATGGTCAGCACATAGGCTGCACGTTTTACCATGTTTCACATAGAGATCAATCAAACATCAACCAATGACACGTTTTCACACAGCCTGAGTGCTTCAGGTCCAGATTCTGGCCCGGATAGTTTGTGCACCGAGGTATGCTTACCGCGCTTTGGTAGTTCTTCGGAATGGGAGACAGGCAGCGTTGGCAGAATCTGCCAACAAAATCACGCTGCGCTGGCTATACCTGTTGTCGACTCAGGCGCTGGAACAGCAAAAGCCCTTGGACTTTCTCAGCAATGAGGTCAGCAAAAGCCCCCTTGGGGCCCCATCGATGCTGTTTCCTGACTTTGAATGACAGAAGAGTCTGTCATCGCTGATGCAGGAAAAGAAGAAGAGTCTGTCGGAGTACAACCTCAGGTCCCAAAGCTGAAACGCGTATCTTGCTGAAGTCTGTATCCTGCTGAAGCCTGTTAGGAGCCGTGGGTAAACAAGCCAATCACTATTTTTGAGAAAGGCCTGAAAACCTCACCGTAATCATCCACTGATACTGGAAATGATATAATGTAATATATTTTTATTATCGACCATATACTGGGTCAATCTATATTATTAATATTATTCTGGTATATATAATAGGGTATAATAGTCCAAGGAAGTCTTAGGTCAATCTTGGTCTCGAACACATGGGAGGCATCAACTCTGCCTGTGGCGAGACCTATCCGAGACCCATCCTCCAGACAGGAGATATAGCACGCAACTCAGTGGAGTAGTCTTCAAGGAGTTTATTCAAACGGATCTGCGTAGACACTCGTGTGCACACCCAGTGTTTGCCTTCTATATGGACTTCAACAAAAACAACAGACGGTGTTTGCTGAAGGATTGGCACTTTGGGGTATCTTGAATCCTCTTGGTACAGACTTCAATTTGCTGTGTGTCGTTTCTTTCCTGTCTCATTGGCCAACCTAGGTCCAGATGAATTCTTCTTTTTTACAGAGACATCTCCAGAAAAGCGAAGGCCAAGTGCAGTTTTGTAATCTAAATGTTTGCTTTCACTACTAGCTGCTCGCTTTAGGTATAAGTTTGGCTGGAGCCATCATGATGTCTATTGAAAGAGGTTTCAGTACAGGCAATGGCAGGAAAACAAGTTTCAATTGGATAATGGCATCAACATGCCAACAACCATGTTCTTATAATCACGTTGTCATCGATTCCACATGTGTTCAGTCCATTAGTCATTGCATTGTGTTTTTGAATGAACCTCTTGGATTGTGAATGACAAGCACACTTTCAATCAGTGCAGTGTGTGTTTCTCCTGCGAGGCGTTTCCTTGATATGAAGGTGTCGTACATGACCGCACGAACCACAGCCTCTTTTTTGGTGGATGTCAACCATGTCCCCTTCAAAAAGCCTGGTATTTTCCAACTGGATATCACAACTGATATTTTCATGTACAACTGCCTTACCCGAAACAATTGAGTTTTGGTACAACTGGCGCCCGTTGATCCGAACATGTGATCCTCCATCACCGCAGCTGTCCGACCAAGCACCGGCTGCCTTAGGCCATACCCGCGCGCAGGACTCAGATCCACCGGGGCTCGAGCCGCCCGGTCTGTGGCATCGGACGTGGCCCCTAAGGCCACGATGGAGCTAGCTCAGTTTTCGGTCAAAATGGCTGTGAGCTCCAAGAATCTTTACCATGACTGCCTGAACTTCCACTTGTAGCATGACTTGATGAAGAAGCATTATTGATGTATTACTATGCAGGCAGCAAAAACCGTTTCAGTTTGAGTGAGATTCATGGTGTCATTCATTGTGGTCTTGGCTCCTTTTTTCCGTTCAAGTCTTCCTGGCTGCGACTAACAAGTTGTCCACAGTTTGGGTCTCAGGCTGCGAACCAAAAAGGCGAACAAAGAGAGCCGAAAGCTCCTGCAGAGGGCCCTGCATACTGCACCGAGCCGAGGCCCAAACAGGCGCCATGGCCGAGGAGGAAGGGTTCATGGCTCGGAGAGGTCTTCTTTGCAGCTGCTGCATGCTGACTCATGCTGATTCATGATGATTCATGGTGCTGAGTCCCTGAGGCAAGAGGTCATCTTCACTGAAAACACTGCGACCTCTCCTCAGAATGGCCAACATACATTCTTGTTGACAAGATCATATTGTAGAGCTCATCTTTTTGCCGGGATGTGTTTCTAAAGCCTGAACATCGTTGTTTGTAATTTGTGGACCTTCTTCTTTGCTTACAAAAATATCCCCGAGTCTACAGGACGAAACAATGGCTGAGCGATGCAAGCGTCCGAGTCATTGTCTCACAATGAAGAAACACGGGGATATTTTTGTAAATGTGTTCCTGGGTCAACACATATGAAGACTATAGTGACTAGTGTGACAATAACACATATGAATGGAAACAGGACGGCACCCCGCAAAAACCTTCAATAAACCAGTAACAAAAAATAGCAAACCGATGCAGATCAACCATGGTTTGCGTGTTGGCTTTTGAACTCTTTGTCCTGTTGGGACTCTCCACGTTGTGGTGTTGCGGACTTAGCAGTCTGCGCAGACTGGCAGACTTAGCAGCCCATGGGCACAGAGATGAGAACAGATAGAAAATGACTTCAAAGAAACCATTGACAAAATAGCAAACCCCAAAATGGCTTGCATTTTGACGTTTTGTCCCCTTTGTTGCAATCATTGTGCAGTATTCCCGTTGGGCCCCTCCATTTTGTAGTTTGTGTTGTGGAAGATCTTTGCATTTGGCAGACTTTGACAGCCCACAATAGGGATAACATCTGTGTAGACTCTCTGTGTAGACTAGTGTGACGGGAAAAGATATGGGAACCACCAAACACATCCAAACCCCAAAATGGCTTGGGCTTTCACGTGTTGACCCCGTTGTTGCAATCATTGTGCAGTATTCCCGTTGGATTCCTGTCCACTTTGCAGTTGTGCGTTTTTCAGAGTCCTTGTCATTTGCAGATTTTAGCCAGACACCTATGACTAGTGTGACAGGAACGGATGCAGAACATGTTTGACCTTTGCGAAATGATGACGGTTAAGCCCATCCACTTCCACTCATTTTATGATCATTCTTTGCACATAGAGTTCCCCATGTGTAGTCATGTTTGTTTCACAATTGCTGAAGAAATAACCATGGAACCTCATTTTGTAGCAGTGTCTAACTTGGAGTGGAGAGGGGAAGCACCCTTTATTTCCCAAAGACGTGATTCTGTTGCCACTATTAGGGACCCACACATGTTGTAGACTGACCTTCTTTTTTGAACAAATGTAGGTCCGAACGATCAGCCCGTGAATTCTTTTAGGGATTAAACATACAAGACAAGCTATGATGTCGCTTTCCTTGGATGAAACTGGGCACTGAGGCCAGACAGAGAGATTTGGGATGAGAAGGGTGGCTTGATCAAGAAAGGCCGTTCCTTTCAAACGCAAGCACCTGCAGCCATTGAAAGCCAAGTTGGACTACATCATGAATGATTTACTTTGTGGCGAGGTGCCGCTGAAATTGCTGAACGTGATCAAGATCATGTGCCAGAGGTGAAGGCACAGTCGCAGCTTGCAGAGCTGTTGTTGCTGCGCACGGATGTGTGCCATGACTTCATCGATCAGGTTTTGACGACGCTAGGCCAGGTTTTTTTAATAACTTTGAGCTTCGTAGGTAGTTCCGTGGACAAAGTTTTATAGCTATCGTGGCCGCAGGCATGTTCGCGGTGCCCGTGACAGCTGAGTGAAGCGCTAATCATTGCATTGCAAATACCTTGTATCCCAATAGCAGCTGTCCCTGATGGTAGTGCCACTGTCAATTTTTGCGAAGTGCTTCGCTTGGCTGAGGACCACCGTCGGAGAGATCCGCCAAAAAGTACAGGAATGGAAGCCGGAGTGATCCCAGCATGTTAGCTGCAAATTCTTGAGATGACCGTCTTACTCGGTGTTTTGATACACAGGTACTCCTTGGAGCAGATCGAGTTGGTTTGCAAAGACAAAGATGATCGGTGCTTAAAAGTCTTGTTATTGCCAACTGGGACTCCTTGCTGAGATAAGCGTGTTGAAGGCGAAGGGAAGCTGCCTGCATGTATCAAAAGTCAAGTAAAAATGCTTGTGTGTGTGCTCTTTTGCAGCTTGACATTGAGGCCTGGGGCCCTCTTTTCAACAAGACATCTCGCCCCAGGCACCTGTACATTTCGCAGAATACTACTGGATGCATACCTTTGATGATTTGTTGATATGTTTGGTGTTTGCTTACGCCCTCGTCATAGATCCAAACATCCAAACATGAGTTTTGTTTAATGATGTTTATTGTTTTGTTCGTTTCAGTGCTTTGAACTTAGAGACAAACCAAGCTTTGCGCTTTCGCCTCACTTTGCCGTGTTTTTTGCGAGGGACGACGATGAGACGGTGTGGCACTGGGCATGCTGATGTTTTGCATGCATGAAGTTTCTTACTCCCTATAGATGCATCATCTATTCAAAAATGTTGCCATACGCTGCGCATACGCTGCCCACATTTGCCATTGAGGTTGAGTCCCTGTGGAGTGACTGGGACATTCCCCGTCGTATGATGCAGGCACTCGTCGTATTCCTCGTCTCTTGGTGTTGCCTTTTTTCCATCCCATGAGACGAGGTGGCGCTTTGGATCAAAGAGAAGAACGAGGAGACGGGCGAGCACGGCCCTCAAGTACCAGTGGGTGTTCAGCCGTTGTACTCCGTTGCACCTGTCCACGGCTGTTTTCGAGTGCATGTTGAGCAGAAGCAAAAGGTTTAGTCGTAGTTTACCCTCAATCTTTGGCTAATTCAGCAAAGACTGAATCACTTTCTAGTTGACAAGTCGTTGTGCCAGTTGTGCCTTTGAGTGTTGTTCTGCCCATGTTCAGAAAGGACCTCCCAAGCATAAGATTCACAAGAGTCTTTTCATTCAAGGTGGGAGAGTACCTTTTGGAAGATGCTTGAGGAGAGCAAATGCACTTGGCCGAGTTCAACTAGAAGCCAAACAAAAACATTACACTTGAAGAATGTTTTGAACCGGAGATAGCTCACAGGTGATGATTGGAGCTTTCAAGGCAGCAAACACATCAAGTGAGAAACATCAACTTGCGAGCCAGACCTTTCTTCAGATTAGTTTGCTGTTGAATGACACTGCCTACTAAGCTCTTGCCCTTCAAATGTGCAGGTCACACTATTTGAGAAGATTTGCTCAGCGCTTTGAAGCAGTCCTGTCTCCTGGACCCACTCAGGCCTTCTGCAGGGTAAAGTCGGGTTGGGCGGAGCGCATCGACGCGAACGCAGAACGATGTCATCAAGTTCTATCATGAAACTCCATCTTGTGACCTCACAATCCGAAAGTTGTCCACTATTCTCGACTATGACTTCGAAAACATCATAGCATACAGTGGTTCAGAGAAAGAGGGCTTGTTTCAAAAAAGCATACTAGTTCACCCAGTTCAGTCGCTTTGGACCCCGCAAATCATGACAGTGGAGCCAACAACATTGGCTCAGACTGCTGCGTTCTGGAGGCGAGACGGCAGAAGAACAGTCGGCATTGGTAGAGGCCAAAGGCAAAAAGAAGATAAAAGAAGCACATCCTGCTTGGAAGACATGCATGGAGTTGCTTCAAAGATTTTAGCAGCATGCAGTCCAGGGTAGTCGGTTGCTTCAATGATGGTTCGATCCGTGCAATTTCATCCGAAAAGATAATGATACTTCTCCATCAGACATATAAGAAGTTCGATGCGGGCTGGTCCTCTTCCCTGTGCAACGATTGCAATTTGTGAGTCATTCGACTCCTTGGGCTCAAGTCTTCCGTTTCGTAGAAGTTCTGGGAAGCTGCTTTCTCCAGTCTCAGTCCAAGTTGATGTCGAAGTCAAGGGGGTAAACTCGACGTGTGCTGCTAGGCTGATGTGAGAGCTGATGTGAGAGCTGTTTCTTCCTGCCCAGGCTCTTAGACGCGATGGCCGAGGAGGAAGGGTTCATGGCTTGGATAGATCTTAAATGAACGAATGCACTTGCGACATCTCTTGCATGCAGCATTCATCAGACTCGTGGTGCTCAGGCAAGAGGTCATCTTCACGGAAAACACTGCGACCTCTTCTCGGAAATTGCAATTTGTTTACAAGACAAGCGATGATGTCGCTTTCCTTGGATGAAATTGGTCACTGAGGCCAGACAGAGAGATTTGGGATGAGAAGGGTGGCTTGATCAAGAAAGGCCGTTCCTTTCAAACGCGAGCACCTGCAGCCATTGAAAGCCAAGTTGGACTACATCATGAATGATTTACTTTGTGGCGAGGTGCCGCTGAAATTGCTGAACGTGATCAAGATCATGTGCCAGAGGTGAAGGCACAGTCGCAGCTTGCAGAGCTGTTGTTGCTGCGCACGGATGTGTGCCATGACTTCATCGATCAGGTTTTGACGACGCTAGGCCAGGTCTTTTAATAACTTTGAGCTTCGTAGGTAGTTCAGTGGACAAAGTTTTATAGCTATCGTGGCCGCAGGCATGTTCGCGGTGCCCGTGACAGCTGAGTGAAGCGCTAATCATTGCATTGCAAATACCTTGTATCCCAATTGCAGCGCTGTCCCTGATGGTAGTGCCACTGTCAATATTTACGAAGTCTTTTGCTTGGCTGAGGACCACCGTTGGAGAGATCCGCCAAAAAGTACAGGAATGGAAACCGGAGTGATCCCAGCATGTTAGTTGCAAATTCTTGAGATGACCGTCTTACTCGGTGTTTTGATACGCGCTTGTTCACACAGGTACTCCTTGGAGCAGATCGAGTTGGTCTGCAAAGACAAAGATGATCGGTGCTTAAAAGTCTTGTTATTGCCAACTGGGACTCCTTGCTGAGATAAACGTGTTGAAGGCGAAGGGAAGCTGCCTGCATGTATCAAAAGTCAAGTAAAAATGCTTGTGTGTGCTCTTTTGCAGCTTGACATTGAGGCCTGGGGCCCTCTTTTCAACAAGACTTCTCGCCCCAGGCACCTGTACATTTCGCAGAATACTACTGGATGCATACCTTTGATGATTTGTTGATATGTTTGGTGTTTGCTTACGCCCTCGTCATAGATCCAAACATGAGTTTTGTTTAATGATGTTTATTGTTTTGTTCGTTTCAGTGCTTTGAACTTAGAGACAAACCAAGCTTTGCGCTTTCGCCTCACTTTGCCATGTTTTTTGCGAGGGACGACGATGAGACGGTGTGGCACTGAAGTGTCGGCTCCACTTGAAGATACTTGAAATGATAGTCAAGTAATCTAGAGGAACTACATGACACTTTGGCCCAGTGTTTCTGGGCAAGCTAGAGAGGTGTTCGTAACCAGAGCCACAAGGAACGACTACTGTTACACCAAAAAAAGGAGCGCATGGTCTACCAGCCGTCCCTTTTTTGGGGGATGGAATGCTTTGTAACCAAAAAAACATAATAAAGATAAGATGCTGCACTTGCATAAGTTGCTTTCCATTTGATAGAAGGCAAGACCTTTGGCCAACTCAAAAGACTGTAAGGTAAACCGTTATCGCCGAACGTTTACCACGGCAGAACTATTGTTTGATTAAGACTGCTCCTCCTCATATTTTGGCAAACTCGGTGAAACGTGCTGTCACATGGTTGCTATGGACTTGTGGCATTGAGGTCGAATCACTGTGGAGTGACTGGGACATTCCCCGTCGTATGATGCAGGCGGAGAGCGTTTTTCTTACATCTCAGACCTTGAACTTCCAAAAATCGAGGTTGCTCTTTGGATCAAAGAGAAAAACGAGGAGACGGGTGAGCATGGCCCTCAAGTACATGTCGACCTTTCATCTGGTGAGGAAGGGGAGAAGATCTCCCTTTAACAGTCTATCTCCATCCAAGGTGGGAGAGTACCTTTTGGAAGATGCTTGAGGAGAGCAAATGTCGTTCACCGAGCATTTTCTTCGGTTCGCAACGAGCGTTCACCGCGCCACGTGTCGACGTAGTGTTTCACGTCGCATGACTCAGGTGATGATTGGAGCTTTCAAGGCCGGAGGTCCAGACTATGAAGCGTAGCAACTGCCAAAACCCCGATGAAGGCAGCATCGCTACAGAGAAGACTAACTAAGTAAGTAAAAGTGAAGGAAACCTTCAGGAACGATAAGGTTCACAAAAAAAGCGATAAGGTTGGGAAGAGTGCGCACTACAACACATAAAGAGGTTTTGCACGTAGCTCATATGAGGTTCAACAATTGGGCTGAGGTCACACCATTTGAGGACTCTGACTGGACAGAGGTGCAGAAGGCACGTGTTGCCAAGAGTTGTTTCGATAGTGAACAGATTTTGCTGCAACCAGTACAAATGGCGTGCCTGCTAAGGGGCGGTTTCAGGGTGGAATGTTTCAGGTTGAATTAAGGTGATGCAAGCTGGACCGTCATCGAAGAGCAAATCAGATACAGACCTAGCGTTTCTGGTCAGGCAATCTGAGACCTGGCCAGGGATGTACCTGCGCTTGGCTCGGAAGAAAAGATGTCTCGCCACTCTGAACTTGAGTTTCAAGCACTTTTTCCGCAACACAGAATGCACAGTTTTTTGTAGGCTCACCTTTCTTTCACGCTACCGCTGGTCTTTGGGAACCGATACTGGGGCTCATTCACCAACGGTCAGAAACCACCCTTGCACCTTCAGTACATCAGCACATAGATTTTGCACATATGCTGCACTGCAGTAACCATAGTGCACCACTTTATCGACCTCACCACTAAGCAAGACACAGAACTGACCGCTCCACCACCAGTGCAAGCCTATTAGGTTAGAACCTACCACTTCACCGGCCCTACCACTCGACAAGATGCAAAACGTTACCAAAAACACCACCGAAAGTCCTGAGATAATAGGACGAGGGTGCCACTTTATCAGCGGTAAGACCCTGCGTGCCACGTACGCCGTATTGACGGTTTTGGTTTCCCTTCATGCAAAAGGAGTCAGTGAAGGCCATGGAAGATTTTGTAAACTGCTTGGTAAATGCTGTCTTTGTGCGTCGGTGTAATGCAAAGAAGAGAGTGTGATGAAGTCCGTGGTTGTGCATTTCAGAGAATAGCATTTACTAGATGATACTAAGCCGAGAGGCACCATGATCGCCAGAAAGCCCCTAGAACTTGTGATACTTGTGATACTTTACTTTGGTATGCCAAGTGGAATGGACAAACTCAGTGTTAGTGCAGTAGTTGTGTGTGTGTGTGTTGTGTGTGTGATTTGCACCTCTTGTTTCCGGAAGGGTTCAAGTCTGAGACTATCAATGAAGACATAACAATTCATATGTTTATGTTTCATATCACGTTGTGGATGTCTACGGCACTTCCTTTCCTTGGACTATCGGCAAACGACCCTACAAAGAACAAAATCAGAGATACCGAAGACCTGTCCCAGCAACGAAGCGATTAAATCCTTTTGAAAGGATAAAACACGTGAGCAATGGCGCATGTCGAACCGGCCGCTCTGACGGCCAGAAGGAGAGGGGGTTTGTTTCGTTTGGAGCGAGGGTTTCAAGTTCAATTGGATTCCTGGCAGCCCTTGTTTTGTCTGCTAGGCGATCATGGCGATCACCTCACCAATTGTTTTTCCTTGTGATTGGCGCATTCCTCCTTAGCCGAAGAGGGGTGTTGGCGCCTGTGCTGTCTGTTGGACAAGAATCACAGCTCTTGCAAGAGGTAGAGCAGAAGGTGAAAGGGAGCAAGGTGTTTTTGGTGTCCAAAGCCTATTGCCCTTTCTGTCAGAAAGCTAAAGAAGTTCTCAGCAGCCTTGGGGTTGCATTCGACTTGCTGGAACTGGTGGATGTGAACAAGCAACCTTTGGTGGATGATCCTGAAGCTGTCCTCGACTACATGCAAAGGATCACAGGGGCTCGCACGGTTCCACGTTTGTTCATTGCCGGGAAGTTCATTGGTGGCTGTGACCATCCCTCAGTTGAAACAGAAACGGATCTACTGCTGGATTCCACACACTTGTTCAAGGAAACGCTGGATTCGGAGACTGAAGAACGGATGGTTTTGTCAAACGTGAATAATGTGTTGCTTACTGAAGATGCAGAGACTTTAGTTTGCAAGAGGACCTATTTATCAATCGCCGAAGTTGATAATCCAGCTCTGTGACTTCTGAGGATGATATGATCCACATGGCCCAGTCCGGCGAACTTCAGAAAAGATTGAAAGACGCTGGAGCCATTTGAGGCATCATGTGCAAAACGGCGTGCGAATGGGATGTGCATAGTGCGATATAGATGTTGATCAGTTGCGTTGGGCCACACGGATCGTAGCAGAGGAGCCGATGTTGGCTCAGACTGGACCACAAGTTCTTGAGGCGAGTTGACATTTTTAGAGGCCAAAGGCACAAAGAAGCACCTCCGGCTTGGAATACATGCATGGGGTTGTTCGACAAAGATGTCAGCACCATTCAGAGCGCAGATGGCCTTGAATTGATCAGTCGAAAAACATCATTGATCAGCATCCAAAGAATGGACACTTCTACATTGACACAGGCATTCCCTGCAGGCTGATCCTCTCCCCTTTGACCACTGATGCGCTTTGGGCTCAAGTCGTGTTCCGGTAGAGGTTCTGAAGAGCTTTCTCCAGTCTCCGCCTGAGATCCAAACACTTGTTTTGCTTTGACTGGTAGGGTGTCTGTTTTCTTCCCTACGACGACTTCGGGCGACCAAGTCATGCACTGTCATGCACTCCGCTCCGAGCGTCGCAACCCCAGGGCGACCCCAGAGCCGGGGAGGCACGGAGAGCCGAGGACGCCCCTTCCGGCAAGCTGTTTGTCAGGCAAGCTCTTGGTCAACGTTTTTGTGTGAAATGATATCAATGTGAGTCAACTCGTTTTGCAAACGTAGGCGGTCCAGTGAGTTGGCACTGGCTATGATAGATGAGTTGGCCTTTTCTATGAACGCTGTTCCGGAAGGCCTTGCTAAGTAGGAAGATTGACTGAAAGGAAAAAGCCAAGCCGAAGTGTACGATCCGAGAATTCAACCCCTAGCTGTGTCGCGCGTGCAGCTTGAGCCAGTGCTTGAGCCATATTGCTTGGCAGGCTGGCGACCGTGGTTTCTTGTCCCTGAAGCCGCTGACTGCGCTGCATAGTATAAGGCGAAACCCTGAAAGCTTATTTTAAAGCGGCCAGGATAGATAGGATAGTTGCCGGTTGGTGGGTCCTTGTTATTGTGCGCGAAGCACTAAATTTATCAGATGCGATTGTGAAAGAGTATGATGAGTATGCTGCAATTTGCCACTAGGACTTGAAAGATATCCATGCACCTCCGCTTATACAATGGTTCAATGATGTTTGACCAATTGTTTTCACCTTTCAAAGGAGACTCTATGGCTGCTGGCTATATGGAGGCTCCAGCTCACGAGTCTCCCATTGACCATATCGGCTTTGACATAGAGGTGGGAGATGCATTGAGATGCATTTGATGAGGATGGCTGGGTGTTCTCAAAATTTCTTGGTGAATAGTCCAGCAGAAACTGGAAACCTGAAACTGAAGCAGTTACACACGTCAGAGACGACGTGTGCAACTGGACTTTGACCAAATATCCAGAGGTAAGGATTGAAGCATTCCATCCATTGGACACGATTACGCTTCTTGTTGTTGCAGCATTCAGCTGAGCCCTACTTGTGTTTCCGTGTTCGTTGATTTTGCGTGGCTATTTGTGCGTTTCTGAAGAAATCTAGCATGACCGGTTTTGGATTCTCCAGGGACCATCGCTGCCGTGTATATAGGTGCTGAGCTCAACGCAGGTGTGCTGAGAGTGTTTTTTTTCTTTATCAGCTTCAATTGCCGTCACTTTGGAACACGTTCTTGTTTTTTAAGCCTTGGCACGTTATTGGTTAAAAGCCTTGGGAATGCCCATGACTCAAACCATCTGAAGGGGAATGGAACGCCTGCGAGAGGCCTGGAGAGGCAATGAAGGATCCATTGCGGCTGTGAACTGTTGAGTTAGCGTGCTTAGTGCTTGGCGGTATGATCCTGCTGCCACCTACCAGTCTCAGCAAATGCTCAATGGATCGAAGGAATGCCATGTCTTGAAAACATAGCCTCCAAGGAGTCCTCCAAGGCTCTCAAATTGGTTGGTGGTTCTTGACTTTGTGGAAAAGCAGGTGGAACATGTGTGTGTGTGTGTGTGTCACCCCCTGGGCAAAGGGTTCGCCACCACCACCACCTTCACCACAGGTTCACACGCAGGGGGCACGGAAACTAATTTCCCATCCGTGCCAACGAAGCTACGGAAATCAGTTGGAAGAGAGCTGGGACGCCGGCTCTTGTACCTGCAATGAAACTGTTGCACACGCTGTCCACTCCTTTGGTTTGTTTCATGGCGGTTCATGATACGCCCCACAAACCACTTTCCTTCCGCCTTGCAGCTGCTGAACGCCGATTTCACTTGAGCGCTTTCGGAAACATTGTTCAACAATACTTTTCAACGGACTTTGCCACCTTGCTGTTCCATCACCTTCCTTCCCAACGTGGGAACTGAGTGTAACTGAATACAATTGTCAGAGTGTGTATCGCTCAGCCGTCCCACTCGGGTGCTGAGTGTGATCCCCGTCACTGGGGCGCTGTCTCTTTGGGAAATCACTGGAACTTCACTGGACTTCACCTCCACTTCCACCGAATTAACTGCCTCAACGGCCGCCGGGCCTAAACACGGGAACTATCAGTTCGCAGCGTTTGCACTATTTTCTGCATGGTTTTGCATGTTTTTTGCCAATGTCTCCTCAAGCAGTGAGATTTGAGTCTTCTAAGCAGTTTAATTCGACTTGCATGGAAAGGAAAAAGCGCCGATTACGGCGACCTGTGTGTGTCACCCCCTGGGCAAAGGGTTCGCCACCACCACCACCTTCACCACAGGTTCACACGCAGGGGGCACGGAAACTGATTTCCCATCCGTGCCAACGAAGCTACGGAAATCAGTTGGAAGAGAGCTGGGACGCCGGCTCTTGTACCTGCAATGAAACTGTTGCACACGCTGTCCACTCCTTTGGTTTGATTCATGGCGGTTCATGATACGCCCCA